CCCCCCTGCAAAAAAAAAAAAAAAAAAAAAAAATACCTCGTTTGCATTATTGTCAGATTTATTAAGCGTACAAATAAAAATCTTCGAACAAAAAAGAAATTTGTAAACGATTACAAAACCAAAAGAGAAGAAAAACAGATCACTCAAAGGATGAATATAGGTCAACGAATTTCGATTATTCACATTCTGCATTTAGCTTTTGGGACGTGAATTGGTTATTTTAAACATTAATGATTTGTCATGCCCTACTTTTAATTCACAATAATTAATTACTTATATTATAAGAAGAGGACGTAAAGTGATCTGAATGCTGGTCCGGTAAATGTTATACTTTACTTCATTCGATCTATTGAAATCGAGATAAATGATACATCCGTGTATAAAATCATCCTAAATTCGTAATTGAGCGTCAACATGGGACGAGTTGATCAGTAGGAGAAAAGACCATCAAGTCACTGTCCCACAACAGATACATGCAGGTATCATACACAAAATTCAATGTTTTATACAACCAACGACAGCTCGTGGCTCTTTCAGCAACATCCGAGTTCTTCTATTTAAACTTTCAGGACTATCGACAAACCCGAGATAAGGACAGTTCATCAATGCGTTGAGATTGAAACCAAAAATGAAAGTGAAAGGCAAAGCCTCCAAAACATGTAAAATTTTCAGAGTGATATACATCTGATAGAAGTGCTTCGACGTCAAGGCAACGGGTTAAAGATACGTCACAAATGCTGCGAGAAATTCTATGTCAAGAGAACAATGATTAAATATTAGATTTAATACATACGTGTATAAGCAATTTACATCTTTCCCTTCAAGTTCTTCCCCCGGTGTGAAGGCGTCTTTCAAAGTGCACAGTCGTTCCTCAGGATCCTCAATTGTGAGTAGATATTTCAGAATTCTGATTTCTTTTGGCATAAGCCTCTGAAGATTTCCTCTTGCTGTCGTATACAAGTGATAAAGGACATCCTTTACCTGAAAAAAAGCAGAAAAGATTTGACAAGCCTAACCATTTGCATGTTAGAAAAATGAATTCCTCGCTGGTGAGACGGAGAAAGTGGGGGGGAGGAGAGCCAAGCTGTGGTGAAATACCATACTTATACAGAAATGCGTTTGGCCTTGTGAAAGTTTCATCAAAACACTAGAGATTGAAACATGAATAAGAACATAACAGCCAAATGAATATTATCTTTCAACGCTACAGCTAGGTCTATCTGTCCTGAAATCCTAAGACATAAAACTACCCCATCTAAGTTGCAGACCCTGCTATACTACCTGTAAAATTCCAATAGTAACTTCAACATAAAGGCATTCCAACAATAAGTTCTCTTCAAATGCAAGATGAAATAAGCTACGTCACAAGAGTAACGCAGCTTGGTGCGCATGAGCTCACAGAAGCTACTAACTATGCACTATCTTAAGAGTTTATAAAATGGACATAAGCATTTTAGTCAACTTGGAGAATAACAATCACTATTCCACTATACCAAGTCCAGATACAATAACCTTAGCTTGTGGCATTAGGTTATTAACGTTCACATTGTTTAGCAAAAATCATGCGACGTTTGCTAAACATCATCAGTAGCACTATTGTATAAAATAATGAGAGAAATTCCCATCATTCATATCAATTAGTCATAAACATTTTGTCCCCTTTGCCTCAAACTTCTTTGTTTCTATAGTCTCATAAGTGGAGAGCCAAAGAAACTTCAGAGTTGAGAGGAAAATTTTCCAACAAAATCTCAAATAGCTCCAGAAAAAAAAAATTGTTTGGGTATCACTAAAAATTGTGTCATTTCGAATACCATCACTTCGGTAAGCATATCTCTTCTTAATTAAGTTAATGCTAAGACAAAGAAAAATTGCTGCAATAAGTGAGATGTGGATGTGTATCTGAAGAAAAGAATGATCTTGCCTCATCTTTTGTCATGTCCGACTCCTTGGCTGCTGACCATGCTTTTGTAATCATGAGCACTAATGCTGAATCAAGTTGATTTTTCTGGGCCAGATCATCTATTTTCTTGCAAGCCGCATCCACTGACGGAGAATTTATTATATCTTGGAATTTCAACTCTGCAGCATTTAACGTTTCTATACTTTCAGTTGCCTTATCATAAGCTTGCACAGCTGCCAAACACGTATTCCCTAGTTTTGCCACAGCTAATTATTAAGAAAAAGGAAGATCTTGTCAGTGAAACCTATCAAATGCAGATAAATTATTATGAAAATCAAGGAAGTGATGTTTGTTGAACTCGTGGATTTTAATTTCTAAATTTACAGTAAGAGAAACTTCATACTCCCAAAGTTAAAGGTTCTACAAAGCTTCTTCTATCTCATTGTAGCATTTGTTTTCCAAAGCAAAAAAGATTATTTTAGTTGATATTATATTCACTTCTTTCGGTTGGAACTTTGGGGTAATTTCACATGTGGCAA